AACACTCATACACACAAAACAACATATATACGAAACGACACAATACCAACAACGCGACAACGCTCCTAGCCCCTCGGTAGCCAACCCATAACTTTCCAATGCGGAAATCGGATAGGCGTTGCGCGTTGAACTTAGTATAAAACCGCGCGGACGCAGGGCATACTCATATCGACTTGCAATGCAGGCGTACACAATCAGTCGCAACGATGGCGTACTATGTAGTGCCCATAATCAAGCGGTCCCTCGTGGATTCGAGTACCGCTTATGATACTCAAGTGTCACACTTGAAGTGTCGTGAGGGCCTAACCCTTCACTACATTGCACGGATGAAGGAATAGTCGTGCAGCTGCCGAGGCACCTCAGGCTCTCGACCTGAGTGTCACGGTAGGCAAATCAAATAGGCTCTTCGCAAGGGAAAACCCCTCCCCTTCAGAGCCTAGGGCTTGAGATGTCCTGTACAAGGACCTCGAATCCCGGCCCAGGACCAAACGTCCGACTAAGAAAATCATCAAAAAGCAAGAGACAAGAATAAAAGGAGAGACCTCCCCTAAGTCCCTCAGTCTCAGCTTCTGAGTGGGCTCCAATGTGGGGCTCTTCAACCCATGCAAACATTCATCCCAAGTATACCCATGTATACATATATAAGATCTTAATATGTGACGATCACTTTTCAAGGTTTCGCTGGGGTCTTTCACAATAATACGTATATGTGTTATTGTAGGCAACCAAATCCAGAATCTGATTCACAGCACATACCTGCCATCACATCAACAAACCAAATCAACAGCCCACACACTACACAGAGTCAACCCCAACCACCTTCGACATTCATACCCCTTGCTTTAGCCATGCAAACCCCAAAACCTCCTATCCAACCAACCTTAATTAAATACTCAGCACCTTTGTCAAATGGCCATTCAATAAAAGTCCGGGTGAAACCTTAATAAAACAACAAAATCACCGGGGCTAAAGCCTTTTAGGTTGAGTGTAGAGGGAGAGTTGAAATTGAGTCGTAGACGGACGAATCGGCAACCGACCTGTTATCAGTGATAACAGTAAGTGATCCTCAAGGGATCAAGCTGGATCTAGCCCTGAACTAAGATCAAATTATCAAAAGGACCTGTAACACACGGCAGACCGATCCCCAAGCTAAGATCATAAGTGTATGGAGAATACAACTCCATAATACATCCTCACTCAAAACTTCCTTATCAGCTAAATCTAAGTGTACTTTTAAGTCAGTGCTTAAGCTGAAGGTAGACCAACTGCTAAATCTCCTCTATTCTGGGTGGATCGCCTTAATCACCTATCAAAATATAATCTATCCCCTCTAAACTAAGAAAATTTTGGCAGCGCTTCCCGTAGGAAAAGTGCCTTTTCATAATTTATAGAAGCCTTAGATATGGGAGCAGAAACAATCTCTAATTCCTGGAAAGTCAAATTCTATCTAACTTTTTGAATTAGTAGAAATTTGGGCAGCACTTCCTTTAGAAAGGGAGACTTCCCAGATTTATACTAAGTCAGATATGGAAGCAAAATTAATCTCTAATTATGGAAAGTCATATTCTGTCTAACTCTCTGAATTAGTAGAAGTTTGGGCAGCACTTCCTTTAGAAAGGGAGACTTCCTAAATTTATACTCATTCAGATATGAACTCGAATAATAGCTCGAGCTCAACTTTAGACTGATTTTAACTAACTCCTTAATAATTTTATTTTTTTTGAAATTTCGGCAACACTCCCTCTAGAAAAGTGCTATTCTAAAATTTATACAAGACTAAGTTTAGAATTTTGAGAATAATTTTGACTTCTCAAAGTCCAATTTTGGCTAACTCCTTGGATTAGTAAAAATTTGGGCAGCACTCCCTCTAAAAAAGAAGACTTTCCAGATTTGTACTAATCCATATGTGGAAAAGACAAACTGAACTCTGACAAGTCGAAAGTTGATTAACTTCTTGGATTTGTAGAAATTTCGGCAGCGCTTCCCGTAGGAAAAGTAGCTTGCCAAAATTTATACAAAGCCCAGAATAAGAAAAGATCTCAGAAAATGCAGGAATTGACACTAACTCCTATGGCTCTAGCACTTGGCGAGCAACTGAAGCAACTACCTACCAACCTGAAACTTAGACTAAGTAGTGGCCTCACTCAGTTTCATGCAAGCCAAACCACGAAGGTAAGTACTCTCATCAGCCCCAAGTTCATTCTATATAGATAGTTTATGAATATTTTAAGTCCTTGAACCCTTATTCCCCTCTTACATAAGACATAGAGATGGACCATTCGCCATGGAAACAATGCCCAACTTGCATTTAAAATATACACGAACAGGTTGCATAACTACTTCTCTCTTCTTTTGGGCGTATGACTAGGCCATTCGCCATGGAAACAATGCTTAGCCGCCCTGAGCCGTTTAACATCCAAGGTTTAGTATTTCTCTGACTTTGTTTTTAAAAAAAAAAGGAAAGTAAATATGGGCAGGGGACTGAACCATTCGCCATGGAAACAATGTTCAGTTTGCCCAAAACTATTTCCATTTATGCTTCGTGCTTTCCCCTTTCTCTTCTTAATGATATGGCTTAACGCTGGACCATTCACCATGGAAACAATGCCCAACTGCTAGTTCACATGCAAATGTAAATATTTTCCCTTTATACTCAGTTTAACTTATGTGTGTGGTTTTCAGGCAGAACCATTCACCATGGAAACAATGCTTAGCCTTAGACCAGAAATCCTCCCTCATAATAAACAAGAACTTAAACTCCTTCAATCAGGCAAACCCCCAGAGTTAACTAGAGCAACTAGGTCATTCACCATGGAAACAATGCCTGGTTGCCAAGAAATTAACTAAATAAACACAGCAACCAGGCCATTCACCTTGGAAACAATGCCCGGCCCTTCAGAAAACAGTCAACTAAAACACAGCCCTGAGCCATTCACCATGAAAACAATGCTCAGGCTTTGGTTGACCCTTCCAAACGCATGCAAGACTACCTTCCTCCCACCTTCCCCCAGTTTATCCC